ATGATATCAATGTAAATTCCTTGACCCTTGTCGAGAGTGTAAAATATTATTCGTACGAACAAAGTTTTCGTTGTACCTCCTTAAGTTATAAGTTTATAACTATTATTGTTTACTTCGTATTCCGTAGTACCTACTACGTATATCGACTGTATTGTGAGAACCCGAGAACGGTGTGCTGGTGGCATGTCTTGTATACAATAGGTACATTTTAATATAAAATAATATGCGTATCACTGTCGATTGATCAAACGTTTAAGGAGAACACACACACACAAACACACGGTATTCAAGTTAATTGATTCGACAATAAAATACAACGTGTGTGTGTATTAAGGGCGGCAGACGCCTCCGTCGCCACGCATCGTATGGAGCTCATCTTCTTAAGTGGGTGCAGAGAGCGACCAGGTCGGGTCCCGTTAAGTGGCGGTCAATAAAATAAACACTTGCTCACCGCCACCGGTAGATAGTTTTGGTCGGTTTAAAGCCATATTTTATAATATAAACGCGATATTTTCTGTCAGATAAGAGAAGAAGAATATTATTGGGCGCTACGACGGGTGTGTGGAAATTCAATTCGACGTTTTAATATCCCAAACGTAATGTTGTTTTTAACTGTTGTGTTACTTTTTCTACTTCTCACGTGCCCACCGACTTTTTATCTGGTTTGGACAGCAAGGTATAAGGATCGTAAATCAAACGAGCACAAAAAAACACACGCACACACACACACACAAGCGTGTGCCGGACTACAGGGGCAAAAATTAAGGTTGACCTTTGAGTATAAATTAATATGTCAGTGTTTACACCGCACTGGTGATACCGACAAGGTTACGTGGGTGCTTCACGACAAGGACCGATAAATGTAGGTATATTACTTTTTTTTCTTTAACCGTATCGAATGATCTATAAATATCGTTTGGGAAAATAACCGTGAAGCTGTGAACGCTTTTAGTTTTTAACTCACAGACATCGTTTTGACGCGGTACGAGGAGCAATAAATTATACGACGTTTAATACTCTGAAATTCAGAATGGATTGAATAATACGGATATACAATACAATATACGTGCGGTTGATATTATATAATATATTGAAATTACTTGAATGGCTTATGGCAACAATTTATTAAAAAATAACTTTAATGTGATCTGCCAGCACACATAGGTACAGTACAATTATGAATTTAAGTACATATACAAGTACAAATCCAGTGGAGCACGCAGGGGGGGATAAAGGTGTTGTACCCCCCCCCCCAAAAATAGGTTAAATAAAGTTTTAGATTTATAATTACAATGGAAAAAAAATGACAAAAATTATTTAAGTCAAAATATGAAAAGGATTTAAAATGAAGGATACAATTTTGTTGATTGTAAAATGTGTTATATTTTTACCTTGACCCCTCCCACCCCCCCGAAAAAAATCCTGTGTGCGCCACTGAGTACAATAAACTAAGATTAAATTGTTATAGTTTATACATTTATAAAAATCTCCGTCTTAAATAAAATCTGAAAATAAATTACGATAATAAATAACTGCATATGGGTAGTGCAAAAACTAATTCTTTACTATTTTTTTGTCATACGTTCAAATTGTAGTATACAATCATTATTGTATCATTATATTTGACAATTAAGTGTTTACAATTTAAGGTCAAGCTAAAAAAAATATGAGTTTTAGATGGTTTTAAAGGAAACGCTAAAAACAAAATAAGATGTTAAACTATACTTTTTTTAAAACTCCTGTCAAATTTGACACTTAAAACCATTAGTTACTACCTATAATGTTTCATTCACAAAGTACATTATTTATCGTCATGCAATGATACATGTAAAGTCTGACTTAATTTTATTTTATTTTGAATCATATAATAATTTAAAATCCCACATATTCACACGGTAAGTACTACTAAAAAAAAAATTAAACATTTACCAATAATATTTATTCACCAAAATGATGATATATTATATTTTATTTAAGTAAATTATTACTTATATTTAATAATGAATGTTTCATACCTAATAGTAAGTTGATATATATGATTTTAAAGAAAACTAGAAAATTATCGGATTTTACTCTTTAACGTTTTAATTAGAAAAATGATTTCAAAATGTTTATGCAGCGTTGACATAACAAAGTATGTATGATAAGTTATGGAAAAAATATAATAAGGTATTATTATATTAATAAAATCTACATATTAACTTAAGTTTTAACTACACAAACAACATGCATAATTCGATCTGTTTCAAATATAATAGAATAGTAGATGGACGCAATGCACAAAGAAACTGAATAAACATTAAAAGATTTCTGATATTCATTAAAAATAAAAATAAATAATTAGTCATAAAAATGTTTAATATACCTATTGAATCAAAATTCGTAGGCGATTTTCAATCTCTATTAAACATTTAACTCACCATGATATAATATTACACACAAAATAATTGTATTTTGTAACTTCTCTCATTATGGAAAAGAGAGAATATTGTGTGCTTTTGATTTTAACAACCAGAATGAAGTCAATAAGACGGTTAACAATAATTAATCGTAGGAGTTTTTCATAAAACTAATAATAAAAATTGAATATAAAACAATAACCTGTTTACTTGTTTGCGAACAAAAATAATATATGGGTACCTATTATAGGTACCTATAATATTACATTTTTAAATGTTTCAAATAGATCAGAGGTCTATATGTCTAGCTAAACATACGTTGAGGTTGAGGAATATATTATTAGAGATTCCTAAGTCATTATAAAAAAAAAAAGAACACCGCACATAACACTATAATATATGAACTACAAAGTGGTCTGAACACACGCACTCATGTGTATATGATATACATATTTGTTTAAGTTCAAAAAATTTACTGGTATAGATAAAACTTTATAAATTGTAATATTAAATTCTGAGCAGATCGTCAGAGTGATATTTTTTTGATTATTTGATCTTATTGTATATCAATTAATAAAATAAATGCATCATTGAAATTTGAATTCAAATTCAACACATAAATTACAGTGGCTTACTCCTCAACGACGGTTGAATAGGTACACTCGGTACCTATCTATAGTCTATACAGTACAACAGAGCGGTTACCTACTTTCCCTATTTTTATAGTTTACGTTTCATAAAATAATATTGTTAAACATTCAGTATAAGATTCAATAAAGTAGAATAAACTTATGTTTCAAGTATTAATATTTTGGTACAATAAGAAAAATCATATTTACAAACATAACTCATTACGATAATAAATAAACATTATGCAATAATTACAATAATTTCTGCGACCATTCAATAAATATCGATTTTATTAATTATTCCGGCTTTTAAACATTAAAATATACTACCTATATCCATAGGTGCAAATTGGGGGGGGCTTGGGGGTGTTAGCCCTACCAAACTTAGCCTACCCCCCCTCCCCCCAAAAAACCTAGGACATACAATTTTAATATGATACCTTGCAATGGTCTGCTTGCCATTAATGTATTCAGCCCCCCAAGCCAAAAGTTAGAATTGCGCCTATGCCTATACGTGCCTATATCAATAAAATACCATAATAAGTAAGGTAGTAATAAATTATAATACGTATATTTGCAAAACTGCTTAATTTACGTCATGACTTCGAGTCATCAAAAGTAAATTTATATCGCATTAAAAAGTAGACACGCTTATATACGAGCGTATAGTGTTTTATAATTAAATTGTGAAAATAAATATGTTTTCCTATCTCCGAGAACTGTTTTGACGTTTGAAATATTTTCTCACGTTTATACATCCGAGTATATTATAATACTATACAATATGACGGCGTATTTATTGTCGATACAAATTCCATAAACGCGATGCAGGGCCGCAAAGGAGCTGGAGTGGTGGCGGCCCAATAACGAAACGATTATAACATATTACATTATACCATGTTATGTAGGTACATGTATTTAAAAACTTTTAATTCGGATACGACGTTATTGTCTACTGCGGTTCGAACCTACCGCCGCCTAATAATAATAATAATAAAAATATAAAATATTACAATCTAAATCGGACGTATCCGCCGATTATAATATTATTATAACGTCTCCGATGTTTCTCACATGATATTGTACGCCAACACATCTGTATATACTCTCACACAACTATAAAATACACACCGACACAGGCACACAGAGGTTATTATAAACACGACACGGTGGCGGCGGCGGTCTCTTTGGTGGTCAGACGAATCACATTCATTACGCAGGCGGTACCAGTGGTGATTATCGTTGTTGGGTTTCCGCCGCCACTGCGGTAGGAGATCTTCCTAATTGAATGTACTATATTATATTATTATTATTATTATTATTATTATTTTATATAAATATATATATATTTTATTATAGGTGCGCAACAGCAACGGAGTAGTAGGCAGAGTGGCGGCGGCGGCGGCGGCGGACACGTCATAAAGTCACAACATCTTGACACGATATAATATATACGAGGAGCCGAGGCGTATATATTTTAAAAATTAATGAAAAACATAATATATTATAACCGGCGTATCTAATATAATAGGTATATATAGTTAGTCTACAAGCCTTTGTCGTCGCTCACGACCTGAACGGGCCTGACATCACACGTTTTTGTTTTGTTTTGTTTTTTTTTTTCTATCGAAAACTCGCCTCGCTTACCGCACCCCCGACTGACACGCCACTCTTTCACGCCACTGCGGGCTATAAAATATGTGTTTTTAAATCGCCAAATTATGCGTCTTTAATAGAGGTATCAAATTATTATTATTATTATTTCATAATCCGCAACACGTAATAAGTACGAACAATTAACGAGGTTGTCCTCTGCAGTCTGCATCATAGTGTACACCGATAATTCGATGATTTCTGATGTATACCTACGAATAGCGATTTTTTTCGAAAATTTTGCTATTGAATATACATATTATTATAATCGACTGGTTTTTAATATAATATTATAATCCTACATTATAATAACATATACTCATAACGTGTGTAAGCGTTTTAAAAGACTTACGATGTTGACGAAATCTTGAAAAGTTATAGCAGACGTGTTTGATTGGCGAGCTCGTTCAAGGAGGATATCACGTTTCTCCTGAGATATAGATTTCACGAAATCTGACGAATTTAATAACATCAAGAAATCGTTCCACGGAATTTCTCCAAAACCTTCAGGGTCATACTATAACAATAAAATGCGAAGAAGAAACAAATATTAACTTCACTGTAATTACGGATCTTGTCCATGATGCTTCACCCACGCCGCACTTACTTTATCAAATATACGTCTCCATTTCTGTTGAAAGAAATAACAACAAATTAATTAAACACACATATTTATTGCTATTAACAGATTTAGTTATAAATACAAACATCGTTTAATATGAAGTCTCTGAACGGACAATTTTTTTCCGATTGTGTACTGGACGATTCGATCCCAGAACCGGGTGAGTCGAATGACGCTAAAGGTGCTAAGGGACTGTGATGATATAGATCCGACGATGGATTGATCACAGAAACCATGAGTTCAAAATATCTTCGGCCCACTCTCATCGCAGATATTTATCTACCTGCTTATAAAAAATAATTGAAAATAATAAGATAGGTATACCTCTGATAATATGAAATCAGTTACATAGGTAACTTAAATAATTTTAAGAAAATGATTCATTTTTTATATAAGGCTACCTACTTAGGCGATACATTAAAAAAGTAAATAACTAATCAGATATAAAATATTATGTACAGAGTGATTTGCCCAAGCATGCCCAATCCCATATTTTTCTTAAATAATTAACTATAGGCGTAGGTTAAATTCTTAATTTTGAGATTCTTAAGTACACATGCTGATTTTTAATTACTCGGATTTTTTATACAATTTAAAAAGTGTCCTTTGAAAATGCATGTGGTGATAATTTTATTTCAGAGGGTTGATATTTATAAATCAAAATTCGAAAGACTGGTTTCTACTTTCTAAGTTATTAAACATTAAGAACTATCGTTAACATATGTCACATTGTTATAATATGACATAATGTCATAATATTTTTACTTTTTAGTTGAAATTATTGAAATTTCAATACATTTCAAGGAAGTATTATCATATTATATTACCTGTATGGTTATATTTAACAAAGTATAAAAAGTGTTGATATTAATTTTCTTTTCGTGAATAAACATTAAACATAATATTGAACAACGTTCTTAAAGAAAAAATATGTAGTAAATAAAAGTAAAAGTCATATAATATATCAATAATTTTCCGGATAACGTGTCATCTTCGATTCTGAGCGGAGCGATAAATGTATTGATTTGACAATGATGTGTGTTTTTTTTTAAATTTTTTTTTTTGTGTCTGTCAGCACCGTTTGGGATAGTAAAACTGCTTCGACTTTCTTCAACATTATCTTGTTTGATGGGAAAATGAATCCAGTTGGTGCATTCGGGAGCCGGGAGGTCAAAATTCCCAATAGTTTTCAAAAGCACCGGGAAAACAAAATAAAAATTAAGGAAAAACGGAAATTTTTAATCAAAATCAGTTTTTGACGAAATTGAGTTGTAGGTAACTCTAAAATAAATGTCCGTAGATACATACAATTTTCACTGGATGTTTATACTAATTACTAGCATTTTCTATACACGTTAAAATTTTCAAAATATTTTGGTTTGTTTTGAACTGTTTACGGAACTTTTCAATTTCAAATTTTTTAGTTTTTTTTTTTATGAATGTCAATAACATTTTATTTGTTGGTTATTAAAATGTAATAATATCTCCTAATATATTGTTACTATAGGAAATGAAAAATACATTTTTTTTATAAGCATTTAAAGTTCGAATTTTGACAACATTTATCAAATTTTAAATTTTATAATTATTTTGTATTTAAATATTTATAAAACGTTCAATTTTTATAGCTTATGATTGAAAATGTAAAACAAGCTTCCACCTAAATAGGTTATTTATAAATTACTTTATTCACAATAATATCATCAAATATACTTAGTCATAACATATAAGCTGACTGACTTTATACAACGATGTTATTAAATCATTGAATTCGAATTTAACAAATTCCATTACAGTGACTTACTTGTATCCTACTGTACAACAGAGTGACACCCACTTGCCCACCTTTTTATGTATTGAGGCCCACTGTGTTTATATATAAACGTGTAAATTGGCCACCAACTACAAAAGGTTGAATAACGCAGGTATACGACCATGTGTAAACTCAAGAAATTCAACATATTTCACTAAATCACAAAAAAACAAACCATTTTCCTTATTAATTATAAATGTATAATAATAGGACATTGTCACTTCAAACTGACTAAATCAATCGATGGAATTAAAAATTATTTAAAACAAACTATTATCTATAGACTATAAGTATAGCTTTTAAGTAAAAATCATGTAAATTAACTATAGTTAATTATAATATGTAAATATTAAAAGATATATGTGACGCATGTGGTAACTAAAGCAAGAAATAAAAAATAAAATATTTTAAAATACAATTGAATTACAAAACGCCATCTGTAAGATGATTACTCAACTATTATACTATGTGTTGAGTTAGTTGCCTATAGAATGAATTTTCAGGCACTTTTTAATGTATAATATAATAATTCAACAAGTAACTTTATAAGCTATTGTTAATTTAGCTTTTTAAACACTTTTATTTTCAAGTATTGTTTGATTCCCATTATAATTTACATAATATTTGTTAATTATAAGAATTTATTTGATTATTAGAATCTGAGCTGAGGGATGTATTGATTTTACAATGATGTGTGTTTTTATTTTACTGTGTGTCGTCGCCCTTTGGAGCAGTAAATTTGAATGATACCAAAGCCGCCCGCATGGGGGGAGGGGCCACGCCTCCCCTCTCATTTAAAAAATAACTAATTAGTATAGCATTTTATTCCATTTATTTGCATTTTATATAGCTGCAGTCTTTTATAGCGATAAGGAGGACTGATAAGTGATAACTGATAAGGTGACATAAAATTGTAAATTTTTTTTTACGATGAGATATTAAAAACAGAATTTATGGGAACTGTACTATATTTTTGCTACCCCCCCCCCCTACCCCCCTGAGAAAAATTTCAGCGGCCGGCCTTAAATGATACTTAGTACACTAGTAGATACTAGTATAATAGTACTATTGGGGATCAAAAAAAAAAAATTCCCAGTACTTTTCAAAGTAACCGGGAAAACGGGAATTTTTACATTGATCTAGTTTTAGACAAAATTGATTTTGTCTTTTTGTTGTAACTAAAATATGAACAATTATAGGGACCTGAAATTTTCACCAAATATCCATGTTAATGTATTTTACTAGATATGAAAAATATTTAAACTATTTTGTATATTCGCTATTATATAATTATTTTCAATTATCGAATTTTTATTTTTTTCGATGTACAGGTAATATATATTTATATATATATATATTTTTTTTTTACTGTGAAAAAAGTTTGACAATTTAATATATGGTTTCTCGTAAGTTTTTTTACAGAAACCTAATAAGAATCTTCAAAATACATATGCTCAATTGATTGTATATACATAAACTAATTTAAATGCATATTTTGAAGAAATTGGTTATTCTGTATTCAGATATACGATTTTAGTTATTTTGTAGTAAATTCAAAATATATTATTCTTAAGATCCTGAAAGTTTTTTTACTGCGTATTTTATTATTTATTATAAGTATATAGTTGACGAAAATGTCTATTAATTATAATTATTTTAGGTATTTCATGAACTTATCACAGTATGACACCGTTCTACACCTTCACGGTACGTCGGTATTGCAGTTAATAACAGCTACTAGCTAGTAATGTTATTTAAAAATAATTTTTTTTTTTTTGTTAATTGAACTGAAGCTCAGTGACTATCACCATTAGCTGTTGTAGGGGTCATGAACTGTGGTGGGTAAGGTTGGTACAGTTAGGTGTTGTTAAGTTTTTTACGGTAGGTAAGCAACACGTGTATGTGTGGTAAGGTTTTAACTACTACGGTCTACGAACCCGACTGGTCACCCATCCTGAAGCTAGTAGCTGGGGATATTACTTACTCTTAGTCACATTGCGCGATTGGGAGCAGCCAACGCGCTTCGCCAAGCCACTCAACGAGAAATTAATTTATAATGAATGTGATTCGTTTTAGGCAGAAATTTGTACAAACAAACATATTATTAAAAAATAAATAAATTACTGAAAGTAATTTAAATATAATATAATAAATTATAATAAGAAGAAGAATCCTTAGAAAATAGAAATATAATTTTGTTGTATATATAACGAAATTATAAAATATCAAAATAACATACGAAGCAGAAAGTCAATCAAACCGAGTCAGCAAAATTGTGACGACTACTTAAGGCGACGTCTGCGACGGGGCTGTTGTTTTGTTTGTTTCGCTTATTATAGTAGCCAACGAGCTGCAGTATTTTTACGTTTCTTTTTATTATTTATTTTTCGATATATTTTATTATATTTAATTCTTTTTTTAAAAAACCAAGTGTCACTGTTTTTCTTTACGCCTTTTTTTAGAATATTTTATCTTACGAGTTGATACAGAGACGTTGTGGTGAATAACACATTTAAAAACAGGTAGTAAGACACTGTGGTACTTACTTTCTCGTCCAGCACTCGTTATCGTGGTCAGTCGAGAAAGAGTAAGACTTTGTCTAGGTAAAAGATACCTCACCCTCGAACATCCAGTACTCGTTATCGTGGTCAGTTGTCCGGGAGTAAAATAACCTTAGAGTTGTATAGTGTAAATCCTGCTGGACTTTTATTTAACTATCCTATTGCGCAGTACTCGTTATCGTGGTCACCAAAAGGAGAACTTAAATTAAACTAATACAGCAGGTATCGATAATTTACTCGTTCGACGGTTAGAGAATCGGAACCGAAACATATCTGTTATATACGTCAAGCCTTTGCGTGGCGTATATGACAATTTGATGAGTGATGACTGATGACGTATTGTCTCCGCGCGAACCCCAGAATCTATACAGTATACAATATATAGGTACCTAAAAAGACATAATCTATTATTCCCTATAAGACATGAGGTAAACACTACATACCTAGTAACTCAACTAATAACTTCTCCTTAATAGCCTAAGAAGACAGAATGTCAAAAAATGTTTGAGTTCATTGGAACTCAGATACAACCATTCATTGTATAATGATGTGACCAATTATATGTCACTGCCAATGTTCAAAAAATACATTACCCACTGGCTTCTTCATAAATACGATGCAACAAAGTCTATAATATAATATCATGTTTAAAGTTTAAATACCTAAAATGTAATTTCCATTTTTTATTTAGCGTACTGTTTAATACATTTTGCTGTTTTAACTTTTGCTTTAAAATTTTTATGTGTGTAGTAATAATAATATCATGTTGTAAACAAGATAACTCCTGGGCCTCCAGTCTCCACACGTTTTTTTAACTCAGTGAGGCCCCCAGTAATCTTTTTTGATAAAAAAAAAAAAAAACAATGATTACCTAAAACATTTAAAAACATTG